GTGGTCACATCGGTGGTCACGGATGTGTCCCAAAGCAAACAGTTTTGGGAACAATGGGTTGTAAGAAGCTATGGCCTGCTGGCGCCCGGTGCTTATCTGGCAGGTCAGGCCCTTAGGAAGGGTCCCAGGGCTTTGTTCCCAACATGCATTGATGATACTCTGCCTCTAATTTGTGACTTCTGTATGTCCTCGGGGTGACTGCACACGTTTACATATGCAATTGAGTTGGTCTTACCTGCTGAAGATCTGCACTGTGTGCCTTCAGTCAGACCCCTTTCCCCAACCGACTCCTCACTGGCTAATGCTGTTAATGATTGTTAGGAGTTATTCATTGAAGGAGGGGAGTCTCTCCTTGGCATTACTATCTACTTGAATGCACTTGACTCTTCAAGAATCTTTATACCAGATTTCTTTGGATGTGCCATTCATTGCCTTTAAATCTGTGCCTTGATTTCTTTTTGAAGTGAAATATGGATTTTCTTGAGAAACTATTTTACAAGCCATAACTATCCAACTAATAAGAAAGTACAGCTTTAAGCAAAAGCCAAAGGTTATTTTTGTACAGTGAAAAATTGTGTGTAGAACTTCTTTATCACGAAAAGCTTCCTTTAGCAATGTTGGCATTTTTAATGTCCAGGAAACAATGACTGGAAAGATGGTCAAATTCTAAGGCTTCGTGTATAGTATCCTGTGGGATATATTGGAGTGTGATTATAAAAGGAATACTGAACAAAAATATAGCACTTTCAGAATGATGGCTAAACAGGTTTAATCTTTACTAATTAAAGATTTTTTTTCAGCATGAAGCAGTACTTTAATAAGATTATCAATAAAATGGTTATTTTATTAAGTACATTTGACTTCCTTGAGTAATATATATTTAATAATATAGTGAAAATTTCTGGCAACTTGTTAATTCTTCATTACTTTGAAGTTTTATAAGGTAGATGATTAATTAAGGATTCCATAGTGTATGGGAGTGATAGACACACCCATGATACAAACACACACACATACTCTCTCTCTCTCTCTCTCTCTCTCTCTCTCTCTCTATATATATATATATATATATATATATATATTCAGCATATGCATATAATAGCTAAAGCTTTTTAAAAAAACATTTGAATTTTAGTATAGTTTATTTGTATTTGAAACAAGTGTTTATGTATAGGTTACTATATATATGTGAATATATATGCACACACAAGTATATATATGCATATATATATGTATATATATATGAACTATCCCTCTGAATGATGGAATTTGATTACTCAATACTATACATAACAGGGATTTGAAACATAAAGGAAATGGTTATAAATACAACACTGTTGTGGTTTTGAATGAGTCAAGATTGAGAAATAAAAGTCAAAGTAGGACAAACCTGATTGTCAAGTGATACAGAAAAATCATGTCTTGGGCAGATAGGTCATTTATGTTTTCTAGGCTGTAGTACAGAACATCTGGTTTCCCAGGGATTGCTCAGGCTAAGGCTAAAGATTGGCAAGCAGTTTCACTGTTCCAATTTCCTTCTTTCTTGATCATTTTTCTAGCTGGAGCAGATCCTGAGATGATCTTCTCTATTTAGATGGCAAGGCCATAACCTCAAGAGCTTGTCTAGCTGATGGTAGTATACCTGTAGGTTTTATGTCCTGGGAGGAAGACAAAGTAGCCAGATTGTAGACAGTATAACTTAAAATACATGCAGTGGTGACAAAGATTATGAGAACATAGGGAATTTATTTCTCAAACACTAATTGTGGTGAAACTTCTGAACAACAGATACAATTGCAGTAAAAGGAAGAACAATGTAGACAAATTTGGTAGGCATTAAATTTTTTATTTTTTATTACAGATGTGTTCAAAATAATTTAAATGAGATAAAATGAATATGTATTTAAATATTTGAGGAACTGATTTTGTCTTTGCCAAAGCAAAAAAAAAATGTATCATAATACTATTGATTAAAATTTTGTCCATATGTAAAAGAGGTGAACTAACTTGAGAGATTGTTGTAGAGTTGTTTTTTAAAAACCTCAATATGAACTCAGTTGGAAGCTTGTTTATTCAGTATAAATATTTCACATTTTGTATACCTTACTATCCTACAATAAATCCAATAGGTTCTCCTTCTCAACTTCTCATAATTTATTCATGGAACTTCCCACCATCAATCACTTGGTTTTCTTGGCTGTAAGCTATGAAACTGGCTCCAAGTATTCTAATCTAGGTTAAATCAAGTGTTTATGTTTTTCCTGTTAAGCTATTCACAATATAAAAAAAGGCCAAAGACTAACATTTTACCACAATTACCAAGCATTGTATTCAGATTACATTCTTTACTGCTTGTAGACTATAGAAGGGAATTACTTCAACATTTGGTGTTTCTACATATTTTTTCTCATATTGTGTCACATCTCTCACGTGAAAGGTCGTGGGTTGAACTTTTGAGGGAACCCAAATCTGTTGCTATATTGTAAAACTGTAGGTTACTTTTCTCTGTAACTGATAGGTGAATAGGGCCCAAAATATCCCATAGCTGAGGTCTGATTTGTTATAGAAGGCAGAAGGAGCAAAGCTAAACATCTTTATAGCCTGATCTCACCCTGGCCTGCTCCTTTTGGGAAAAATATCCCCAACACTATTGAAAAGGTACCCTGCTTTCTCTCCAAGATCTGGCTATTATGCAAATGTTAATGTTGTAGTAATTAGTCAGATTTCTCTAAGTGGATATTGCAGAACAGATGTGGAGTTCCTACCAATTCTTTTATTTTAATTATAGTTTAATCTACTTAATGAACCAGTGATATTTCATAATGCTTTCTCACACATTTTGCCTATTTTAAATAATTTAAAAATTCCATACATGCACTTTGATCATATTTGCCTCCCTTCCACTTGTCCTTGGTCCACCCCCTTTCTCTACACAACATTGCATTCTCCTTCTCTTCTTAAAATAAGATCTATTAAATCCAATTTTTGCTGTTCACATGATCTTGAGTTTGTGGCCTTCCGCCAGAGTGTGGTCAATCTACCAAGGACCACACTTTTAAGGGAAATTAACATTTCCTTTCCTAGCAGTGATCACTTGTCCACTGTTTATAGGTTAGCCAGGAGGGCTTCATGTCTACCTCTTTCGTCAATGTTGGCATTACATCTGGCTTGAATTTTACCAGGTCTTGTGTGTGCTATTATACCATTGTGAATTCAAATGTATTAACTGCTCTACTATATTCAGAAAACACTGTTTCCTTGTATCTATCCTGCATCTGTGACTCTTACTATCCTTTCACTCTTTCTTTCTTAGTGATCCCTGAACTACTGGAGGAGAGGCATGATATAGATGTCCCATATATGGTGAAGAATCCTGCAGTCTCTTATTCTCTGCACCTTGACCAGCTTTGACTCAGTGTTAATCATCAAGTACTGAAATAAAAAGCTTTTCTGATGAGAGTTGAGAGATGCATATTGAATAATAAAAATCAGGGACCCATATAAAAGTCCACACTTTTTATCAAATCTTTTACAGAGATCTATACTTAAAAACCAGCCTCCTCTCACCTAACAGAGGAGTAGAACATTGAGAAAGTTGAGTTGGTAGGAGAAGAATTTATGAGTATCAGGGACTGGATTAAGTAGCATAAATCAACCCTATACATTTATATCATAGATGATCACTTGTATTTTATAACTTGACTATTATTTCCCTCCACCTTAGTTTCAAAGTACCTGCATGAGTCTCTCAAGGTTCCTTGCAGTTTACCATTAGTGAAGGATTTGTCTAGTTTAAGATCTTAACAGAATATGAATTTTATTTCCTAGCATACTTCTCAGGCACTTTTAAGAACCCCAACTCTTGAATGAATAAGTGAATTAGTGGGGTTATCTGTGAAACTAATTCACAATGAAGAAATCATAGATGTTACCAGATGATATAGTTTTTTAAAATAATACTTCTTAGCATTTACTGTGCATAAGGATTTCTTGAGGATCTTTTTAAATTACATATTTAAAGAGCAGAACCTCAGAATCTTTATTGCTAAAAAGTTGCTAGTTGAAGCCAGTGTTATATCTTATCAGAGCATCAAAGACAAAGATGATCTTAAGGAATAGCTCCCAAAACTTGTCTGATGAAATGGTTGCTGTGCAGGCGATAAGGGCAAGAGTGGTATTTTTTTAAAAATTGTTGGATCCCTTAACCATTCAAAAAACAAGTTGAAATGCCTAGGAAATAGAATTGGGCACTTGCCTTTTAAAAATCACCTCATGGGAGGGGCTGGGAAGATGGCTCAGCAGATAAGAGCATTGGCTGCTAATTTAGAGGAACCAGGTTCACAGGACCCACATGGAAGCCACAGCTGTCTTTAACTCCAGTTCCAGGAGGCACTAATTCCCTCCTCGGGCCTTCAAGGGCACTGCCTTCATGTGGTACAGAGACATACATGCAGGTAAAACACCCATATACATAAAATAAACATAGTTAAACTGTAAAAATATACCTCAGGCGTTTTGCATGATTGGAAAATTAATCCCTTGGGTTAGGGATAAGGGCACAAATTTTCTATGGTTTTGGAA